AATTTAGCAAGACCCTGTCTCAAAACAAAAATCTAGAAAGGGCTGGGATGTGGCTCAGGCGAAGGCCCTGGGTTCAGTCGCCAGGGGGCCCTCAGAAAAAGAGGAGAGAAATCTGGATGCAGATATAGACATCGGGAGTGTCACTCCGTGAACACAGGGTCACACCCACATGGGAACAGAGGCAGAATCTGGGGCTGAGCTTGCGCCGGGCCGGGGATGTAGCTCAGCGGCATCAGCGCCTGCCTGGCAAGTGCAAGGTCCTGAGTTTGATTTCTGGTACAAAAAAAAATAAAAGGCCTGGGCCTGCTTGAGGCTGAAAGATGCCAGGTTTCTCTGGAGGAAACCTGAGCTGGGGTGGTGGAGCAGATCTGCAATCCTAGCCTGGGCTCCAGGCAGTTTACCGAGGCCTGGTCTTCAACAAATCAAAACAAAACAAGAAGGAAACCAGAATCACGAGGGCACGGCTGAAGGGGTCTGCCGAGTGACCTCCAGCTGCGGCTGTGCTAGGGAAGCTCGGTGTGGAGAGGCGTCTCCAGCCTACATTTCTGTTGTGTAAAAGCAGCCCACTGGCCGGGTGTGGCAGCGCACACCTGTGATCCTGGCACCCATGAGGCTGAGGCAGGAGGGTGCCAAGAATTCGAGGCCAGTCTGGACTCCATAGTGAGAACCTGACTCCAAAAACCAAACCAAACCAAGACGCCACCCAGTCTGTTAGCCCAGGGGCACAAACACAGGGCGTTTCTCCAGGTTGGCAGGCTCCGCATTTACAGGGCATAGCGTGGCCCGTGAGGACCAGTTCGCTTATGGTGGGGGGTAATTTTAACAAGCGGAAATAAAGAAAGGTGAAAATAAAATACAAGGTACCTCACGATGGTGAAAGTTAGGGCAACGCGCTCCCTCTTGCTTCCTGTCGTCCCTGTAACGGTATCTTTTTGGGGGTTGAAACAGGGTCTCACTATGTAGCCCAGGTCGGGAGTGCTCAGCGATCCTCCTGCCTCAGCCTCCCCAGTGCCAGGATCACAGGCATGCACCGCCACGCCCGCCTGTGGGGTTGGATTTTCGTTGCCGTCTGGGGATGGACTGGCACAAGCTGCTCTCTCCGCAGCTGTGCTGACCACAGGCCGCCTCTCCTTCGCCCTCTGGTTGATGTCACCCTGGACCAGAGCACCTACTATGCCCGGGAGCTGGGCTCAGTCACACGGCTCACGGCTCATGGCCCCTGCTGGGGCTGGAACCCAGGCCTGCTAGGCTGAGCTGTGTCCCCAGCTCTGTTTAGTTTTAAATTTTATTTTGAAACAGGGCCCCATGCAACTGCCCAGGCCACTTTGAACTTGGGATCCTCCTGCCTCAGCCTCCTGAGTCCCTGGCATTACAGGCGAGCACCGCCACGCCCCTGCAGGGACCCGGACCTGGGACTCTGGGCTCTTTTTCCCATTCGGAATCTCTGTCTGCGCCCAGGCAAGAACTTGCCCATCGCCCACCTAACGTGTGCGCTTCCGGGGGTTGCAGGTGACTGGGGCAGGGGCAGCCAGCAAGGAGCCAGGAGGACCGAGGTGGCGTCCAGGGCCGCAGAGATCTGGTCATCCAGGTCACAGCCAGGCCCAGCTCCAGACCTAGCTCGGAGCTAGGCCCAGCCCAGCCCAGCCCAGCCTCGCTGACCGCGGCCGACACTGCCCCCTGCCGGCCACCGGGGGCGGGGCAAGGCTCTGTCGCTCCAGAACCCGCGACATACAAGTGAGGTCCCCTCTCCGAGCCTTTCCGGGCAGTCCTTGTCCCTTTACGGTCTGTTTGTCCAGCTGTCCTGCGGATTGAACCTTGGGCTTTGGTACTGAGCTACCTTTTTGTATTTTAAAACAGAATCTCCTTCAATTGCTAAATTGTCTAGGCTGGGCTCAAACATGCACCCTCCTGCCTCAGCCTCCTGCTGAGGCTTGGATGACAGGTGTGCACCCCCCCCACCTGGTCGTATTCCTTCCTATAAAAGAAATCTCGGAGGAGCTCCCTGCAAGAGACCTTATTTGCAGTTCCGTCTGCGCGTGAGGGGGGGCAGTCCTTTCCACACCTGCCCCCGCGTGGGCACAGGGACCCCACCGGTGTCTCCTGCGCACCATGCGCGAGGCCTCTCTGAGGAGAGTCAGCCCCGAGCGTCCTATATCGTTCTCACCGCCCCTCTGTGATCAGGTAGCTTCCTCATTTGTCACTGCAGCACTCGGGAGGCTGAGGCAGGAGGATCCCCAAGAGTTTAAGGGCAGCCTGAGCTACATAGTGAGTTGGAGGCCAGCCTGAACTAGTATAGCGAGACTGTCTCAAACAATTAAATTAAATTAAATTTTTAAAAAGGTGGCTCCCCAGTTAAGCTTCTCAGGTTTTGGGTGACTCCTGGCTACATTTGTCTCGACTTATCACAGTCATTTATCCATTCACAGATACTTGGATTATTTCCACTTTTCCATTTTGGCGTTGATGATTCTGTGAGCAGTCGTAGACAGCTTTTATATAAATGCATGTTTTCAGTTCTTTGGGTTACATATGTCAGCTTACAATCCCGGGACACACAGTGACTATGCTTAATTTTTTTTTTGATACTGGGACTCGAACTCAGAACCTTGTGCTGGCCAGGCAGTCGCTTGTGCCGCTGAGCTGCACCCCCAGCTATGTTTACATGTTTGAGTGTTGCATCTGTGTCCTTAAATACTGTCTAGATCTGGAGGAAACCCGGGAACATCTTCATCCGGGCCTGGGATCCCTGTCTCGGGCAGTGTGCCGTCTGGCCGTTGCTAAAAACCCAAGTCCAGGTGCAGGGCTTCGGGACTGTCCTGCTCATGCGTCAGGGGTCCAGCCCTTCTCAGGTCTGTGGGCTTCTCCTGCAAGCTATGTGGCGCCCCAATCTCCTGCCTCGTGGGCTTTTTTCCTTTTTCTGGCCTCGCCATTTGCACACCTCAAAACAGCATCGTGCAGTGGCGGGGTGCTGATCTCGGCCGCCCCAGAGCAGGCCAGTTCTCGCTGTGAAGTCGAGGCCAGCCGGGCTATGCAGCGAGGCCTTGTCTTGCTTCTCCTGTGTCCTCGGGGTCTAAGCCAAGGCCTGGCACACACTGGACGCCGGATGCCCAAAGCCTGCACCCCCTTCTGCGACCGCCCCGGCTCCTGGGGTGTCCTGAGGACTAGGCTTCGCTGTCATCTGTGTTGTGAGCCAAATTAGCTGGGGGGTTTTTTTAGACAGGGTTTCCCTGTGTATTTCATGCTGGCCTCGAACTTGTGGCGATCCCCCTGCCTCAGCCTCCTGATGGATGGGATGAGGGGCATGTGCCATCACACTTGCTTAGGGCTTCTTTCAGGAAATGTTATTTTGCAAGAATGACTGAGAGAAAGAAATCCTAGGTCTTCAGATGGTTATGTGGAAAGTCTGTCTGTCTTCCTGTCTTTTCTTTTGGTTTGAAACAAACAAAACAATAACAACAAAACCTGGACTCGGGTTTTTAAAAACTTTCTGTTGATCTATTTGCTATTTATGTGATGCTAGGGTTGAAGCCAGGGCCTTGGGCAGCGAGATGCATGCCCCGCCTCGGAGCCTACCTGGGCCTTTGAGTTTCTGTCTTTAGCGGGGAAGACCCACGGACATGGATCATGAGCACGTGGACACCAAAACAAGACGCAGACACGAGAGCTCTGAGTGCTGGGGAAGAACGCTCAGTGCTGGGGACCCGAACATTTGGGGACCACTTAGCTGGAGGTGGGGAAAACAGTGACCTCCCTCTTTTGCATAAAGACGAAAGTCCCATTCCTCAAAGGTGACCGTCTAAGCTGTACGGTTCCGTGGCTTTGGAGACAGGGTCTTTTATCTACTTATCTTTTATTTTGTTCTTTATTTATATCTTGGGTTCCTCACGGAAGAGAAACCAAGCTTCTGTGTCTGATTTATTTCACTTAACGTTAGGGTCTCAAGGTGCTTCCATTTCCCCACAAATGCCTCAGAGCTATCCTTTTTTGTGGCAGAGTAGTACTCCACTGTGTGCAAATACAATTTTCTTTACTCATTACTTTCTCGAGGGACACACAAGCCACTTCCAAGATACAGCGTTACAAATTGTGCTGCCATAAACATGGTGTGCATGGATTCAAGGATGTTTCCATCTACTAGAATGAAGTCTGGCTCTGCCTTAGCCAGCCAACCCCAAATCTCCACAGATTTGCCCACCCAGATGTGTAATATAAATGGAATTGCACACTGCAGGTCTGTTTGTAAGTGGCTTTTTCATGAGCTGTTGGGTGGATCAGGACCCCTCCCTTTTCATTGTAGAGTAATATTCCATTCCCGAAGGGAGACATTTTGTTTATTTAGTCATCAATTGCATAGACATGGACAATTCCCTCTTTTGGGTGGTTCCAGGCAGTCCTGCCGTGACATTCATGCAGGAGCGGGCTGAGTGCCCAAGAACGCTATGTTGGCTCTCACGGTGGTAGGCGAGGCCTCTGATTTCTCCGTGTCGTTGCTCACCCTTGTTACGCGGGCTTTATGTTTGCTTCTCTGTATCCCCAATAGCACCACAGCTGCTGCTGTTTTGATTGAGGTCACGCTCAGTGGAGTGGGCCGCTGTCTCATGGTTTTGATGGGTTCCTGATCTTGGGGGTCTTTTCCTCTGCTTTCTCATCACGAATAATTCTTCTTCGGAGAAATGCTGGTTCCAACACACGCCTGGTATTAAATGCATTATTTACCTTTCTTTCTTTTTTGTCTTTTTGAGGCAGGGTCTCACTATGCAGTTCAGGCTGGCCTTGAGCTCACTTTGTAGCCCAGGCTGGTCTCGAACTCGCAACAATCCTCCTGCCTCAGCCTCCCGGCACCAAAGCATCCCAAAGCCCCAAATGGAAATCAGCTCCCCCCAGTCCTCCTGGGTCACCTGCAGTCCTGGATGCTCAGCCAGTAGGACAATGGGCGCAGGCCGAGGGAGGGAGTCACCCTGCTCCATCAGCCACGTGCTGTCCCCTCCTGTTTCCCCCAGAGCCTTGATTCTAGAATCTAGGCTGCAGCTGCGTGGTCACCGCGAACCCCCTGACTCCCAAGAGTTCGGTTCCGGCCGGGACGCGCGCCGGGGCTTAAGCTTCAGGGAGACGCGCGGCTGCCGAGCGCCCTCTAGCGTCGGCCTGGGGTACGGCGGGGCGACGCGGAATCCCGAGACCCTCACTGAAGGCGGCGCCCCTGGGCTTGGCGCTGCCCTGCCGGGGCTCTTCAGGCCTCCGCTGCCAAAGAGCTGAGGAAACACCAGCTGACCCCGTTGCCAATGCTACGAGCGCTTCCTATGCGCCGGGCCCTGGGCCCAGCTCCCAGGCTTCTCCACCAGGGAGTGGGGAGTTTTTTTTTTTTTTTTTTTTTTTTCCGGGGCTGGGATTCGAACCTGGGGCCTCTCAATGCTGGGTGGGCGCCGTATGGCTGAGCTGCAGCCCCAGTGCAGCTGAGGTTGTGCTGCGCTGTTAGAAAGGTGAGCCCAGGAGAGCCGTAGGCAAATGCCTCACTTGGGAAATTCGGAATATAAGTACATCCAGCAAATTTATGTCAATTCTCAGATATGGAATGGTAATAAAGAGTCTTTCCAAGTTTGTAAAGAAAGGGATAGAAGCCAGGTGCACGCCTGTCATCCCAGCCTCGGGAGGCTGAGGCAGGAGGATCGCTGTGAATCTGAGGCCAGCCTGGGCTACACAAAGTGAGTGCAAGGCCAGCCTGAACCTTATAGGGAAACCATGCCTCAAAACCAAAACAGAACAGAACAAAACAAAAGGCTGTGTAGGTTAGGGGTATTGGTTTGGTTTTATTTGGGTTCTTTGAGACAGGGTCTTAATATGCAGTCCAGACTGACCTTGAACTCAGTGATCCTCCTGCCTCAGCCTTCGGAGTGTTCAGATTGCAAGAATGTATCACTATGTCCGGCTCTTCTGTCTCCTTCTCTTTGGCTACCTTTGTTCAAGCTGCTGTTTTCCACCTCGCTGGGCAGCGGCTTCCTAAATGGCCTTGCTATTTCTGGGATTCATTATTTGTAGAACAAAGCAATCTTCAAAGTCAGGTCTGCTGCTCGTCTGCCTAACCCTTCAGCGAATGCCCATCTCACCCAGTAACAGCTGGGCTCTGGCCGGCTGTGGCCCGCATGCCTGCCATCCCTGCTGTGGGAGAGGTCACGGCAGGATGACTGCAGGTCTGAGGGCCAACCTGGGCAATTAGGGAAATCCTGCCACAAAATAGAATTTCGGAAAGACCTGGAGTGTAGCTCAGCATGAGGGTCTTGGCTGTCACACATGAGGCTCGGGATTCAACCCTCAGCACAGAACAAATGACAAAAAAACAAACCAAAGTGAACACTCCACTCTGGTCTCCAAGGGCGGGCATGACCGGGCCTCTGCCTGGCCTCCCAGCTCACCCCGCACCCCTGTCCTCCTCCTGTGTTCCTGCTGCGTCCTGTTCCTTCAGTGCCCCAATCTCTCTGCTCCCTGATGTGGCAGAGGGTTCCTTGGGAAAGCCAGGTGTGGTGGGGCACACCTATGTTCCAACACTTGGGAGGCTGAGGCAGGAGGATCTCATCACTGGGAGTTCAAGGCCAGCCTGGGCACCATAGTGAAACCCTGTCTCCAAAAAGAAGTGAGGAGGGGGATCCTTGGAAACTCCCTTTCATACTGAGTCCAAATCTCCTTCCAAACCAATTAAATTGCAAAACAAGAAATTTGGTCATATGGTCATCAAACTATATACTCAATAATACCAAGCTAGATGCATGGGCCGTTTCAGGGAGAGGGGAGGGGAGGGGAGGAGAAGGAAGAGAAGGGTCAGGGAGCTGAATTAGTTCTAGAACCTGGCTGATTTGCATCATCCCTAAGGCAGCTTCAGAGACAATCAGTCACAAGTCCTTAATTATGTGTCAGAAGAAAGCCCGACATTCCTTAGAAGAACAGGAGGATCCCTAGCACTCGAAACCCCAAATGCACAGTTCAGCAGGAAGCTGGACCCGGTGTACACACCTGCAGTCCTGGCTACTCAGGAGGCTGAGGCAGGAGGATTGCTCAGGAGGCTGAGGCAGGAGGATTGCTCAGGCCCAGAAACCCAAGGGCCAGTTTGGGCAGCATGGTAAGACGCTCATGGCAAGACACTGTTAATCAGGTAGTCAGATGGGAAAAGTTATCCACAGCCAGAAAAGCAAGCAAGCAGCAGCATGGTGGGGGGCCAGGACCAAACTCAGGACCTGGCGCTTGCCAGGGAGGCGCTTGTGCTGTTGAGCTCCAGCCCCAGCCCCGAAGCAGCAGAACAGACAGCAAATTTAGAGATGCTGGCACTAATACACAAGGGCATTCCAACAGTCACTGTAAATCTTACAAATATGCTTAAAAGTGTTAAGAAAAAGATATATATGATGAGGAATGCTAAAGAAAAGATTAGTGACCCTGAAAAAAATATCAATAGCTGGGCGAGGAGGCGCATGCCTGTGATGCCAGCACTTGAGAGGCTGCGACACGAGGATTTCTGTGAGTTTGAGGCTGGCCTGGACTATAAAACAAGACCTTGTCTCAAACAAAATAAACCAAACCAAACCACAACAGAAAAATGAAAAGCAAAAAAACATACAAAATAAAGCACTTTAAGGTTATGCTTGTCTGTGCCAACGCGTTTGGCCTTGGAGCCACCAGCGACTAGTGGGGCACAGTTCTGAGTGTGTCTGGGGCTGACCCTGGCGCTGTGACCCTGCGTGCTGCAATACAGTCCCTGGCTTCCTCTCTGCACTGTCCCCTGCCCTGCTTCCCAGACACCAAGCACGGGGCAGCTCTGCCCCTCCACGCTTTTCCACCACGGTTTTGATGCCGCTGCCACGGACTGCATCTCCTGGAACTGTGAGCCCAGTTAACCTTCAGCAGAACCTTCGTGAGAGAAAAGCTAAAGTGATGCACACAGACACGCACACACACACACACACACTCACACGCACTCATACACACACTCACACACACACACACCAATTTTAAAAATGCCTTTTGATAATCAAGCCGAGGTAAACCATAATTAAAATGTGGAAAACCTTAGCTTACCCAAAGGAAAATGGGTTCGTTACCTAGACGAACTGAGAAGATCACGTCAGACCTTCTGTTGTAAACTGTTCGAGCCAAAAGATGGAATCACAGCTCACAGCACGGAGACGAAATCTTAAATTCCCGTCCCCCAGGGAAAGTCCTTAAACTGTGAAAGTGAGGAACACATTCACCCCAAAGTGTATGCCTTCAGGGCGGTGATGAGAAACACCAGAACTATAGCTGGGGACGCTCATAGGATAATTATTTCAGCTTTTTTATTTTTTGGTACCAGGAATTGAACTCAGAACCTTGTGCTTACTAGGCAGGTGCTGTGCCACTGAGCTAAATCCCCAGCCCTTTTCTTGTTTTCTTTTTCGAGACAGGGTGTTGCTAGGTAGATCAGGCTGGTCTTGAACTCACGGGGACCCTCCTGCCTCAGCCTCCCAACCATTGCAGCCAGCTTTCTCAAGGCTTTTGGGGCCTGTTTGATCGCTTACCTGGCTCTGCATGGAAAGCTTTATTCAGAGGTGCGTAAAGCTTTCTAACACCCTGTGTTATATTACTGTGTTATATATACCATGAATATACGTGATTGTCATCACCAACCCTGACACTGATACTACGTTTTTGATAGATATTTGACTCATTTCCTGGGCAGCAGCCCCGAGGCTGGGCGTGGTGAGCTGAGTGTCTTGGGCCGTGGCCCCACCCCTGTGACCCCTGCTTCCTCCCAGCGGCCTAGGGATCCTGCAGCCTGTGTCCAAGCCCAGGCATGGAGCCGCACTGCTCGGTTGTAGTCTGCTGAGCACTGCTGAAACTCTGCTGGAGATTTACCAGAGCAGAACCAGAAGCTTCCGCACTGGCATTTTGAGGCGGGAGCCTAGGACAGGTGCCATCCTAAAGTTACTGGAAACTCTGTGCCCGCCTGGACTGTCAGCAGCTCACACAAAGTCGCTCAGTGGCCTCAGCTGCCTGCGGAAGCAGGTCATGGGCTCAGGCCAGCCTGGATGATGCCTGCGCTCTGCAGGGAGCTTGGGGAGAAAGACAACGCCCGCCCGGAACAAGGCCCATCCCGTTCAGCTCGGGCAAGCAGGACAGTGCCGGGAGAGCCCAGGCACGGACCCTTGTTTGTAAAAAAGTAACCTGGAACGAATGTGTTACCTCTTTCCCCTTAAAAGACCGGGAGGCACCGTCACCACACAGGCAACTAGAAATGGACCAGAAAGAAGGAGATCTGCATGAAATACTGTCATTTAGCCGGGCGTGGTGGCGCACACCTGTCAGCCCAGTACTCGGGAGGCTGAGGCAGGACATACTGTGAGTTCTAGGTCAGCCTGGGCTACAGAGTGAGACCCTGTCTCCAAAACAAAAACAAACCAAACAGCTGCTAGAATCACTGCACGACGCCTGTGATGCCTCGGTTCCACCCACTGAGGTCCCTGTTTTAGTACAAACCACACATGTTTGGTTTTGTCCCTAGCTCCCGGCTGTCTGAGAGTCCAGAGGTTTCCAGAGTGGTAAGTGGGTCTTCTGCCAGCTGATGAGGTGGCGGGTGGCCAGGCCAAGGGGACGGAGGGCTGAGACCTCCACTCCCTGCAGACCTCCAGGTGTGGAGAGGGCCGCACCGGTGATCTGGAACTGCGATGGACAGCGTCAGCCAGGGGCTTAATCAATCTCCAGCAGCCCTGGGCCTCCGGGCTTGGAGTGCGCCAGGGTCAGGAGCACATCGGGTCTGCGGCTTTGCCTGGGGTTTCTCTTCCTGAGCTGTGACCTTTATTTCTGCTTTTGTTTTTGAAACGCGTTCTCACTGTGGAGCCCAGGCTGGCCTTGAACTTGTTGTGGCAATCCTCCTGCCTCAGCCTCCCGAGTGCTGGGATCACAGGTGTGAGCCACCACGCCTGGTATCTTAATCTCTGAAGATGGACTGTGATGCCTGAAAGAGGCAAACTGGGCCTCTCCGACGTAGTGGCTCATGCGGGTGTCACCTTGCCGAGGCCAAGGCTGTGGGGCGCTCAGGTCCGTGGTGACACATTATCCCAGAGCCTTTACCACAGTGGAGCGGCTCACTCTCCCAGGGGGCGTGGCCACCCCATCACTGGATGCC